CATTGGCTTTCAACACATAGCTATAAGTGGGTGTAAAAACTTTGTATTGATATCACTGATCTATGTGCACAGTATCTTATTTTTTTTTGTCCATACTTAAAACTCACAGTGTTGTCACTCTGAGTAAAAACTTGTTTATCATTTCCAATTCAATTTTTCATTTTTTTCCCTTAAAGAGTTATTTGTGCAGCTTCCTGTCAATGGAATCAATACAAGCGCTCTTTCAGAAGCTTTAGACTTCCTTTGATGCACCGTAAGTGTACAGGAAACCATTATAGGTTTTCTGATTAAACATAGGTGTAGGCCTGCAATAAACCACAAAAAGCTGATGTGCATTCAGGTGATGGGCGTACAACACACATGCTACCATATGTACCTTATGTATTTGCAGACTTTCAAGCAGATATTGATCGTTCTTTATAGCTACTGCAGACATTAAGGGAAAAAGCAAGTAAATAGAAAAACACTCAACATATTGTATTCAGAGGCTACAAGCTTTGTAGTAGTTTAAGCATCACAACTCACCCTCATTTTTACTACTATGTTGTATTACTGTTTACATATTTCATTAGAGGCCAAGTGATGCTGCCTTCCTGACCCTTGCTCCCCTGGGATATGCACATATTGGCACTGATAACTGGAAAAGGAAGGACTGTCTTGGAGTCGGTCGATGACAGGGCAGATAAGCAGATGTCTGCAGCAAAGAAGGGTGCATCTCCTGCAATAAAACAGATGTGTCAGGAGAGTTAATCATCTATAGAGAGGCATCGTCTGTCATATTCATTCATTAAAGAACTTCCTGTGATGTCAGAACACATCCTGTCTACTCCCTCTCGCCGGTGTGTTTTTCGTGTATACTTGCAGATGTAGTGACAGCCATTAAAAACATTTAAAACGACTGGTCTTTGTTGTCATCAAATTTTGTAAAATCCCCAAGCTCATGCATTTTTCCATCAGCATTTATTTAATTAGTTCACTTTCAAAATACAAACATAGAGTTTTCTCTTAAGTAACTATTATGAAAGCACTTATACCATATATCAGTGTCAAAACTATGTTTACTGTATTAGCATCTGCAAACTGGTGTTTTTATTGTGGCGATATATAAACGTTTTTGAAAAGGAAAATAAATCAGAGACTGATACACCTATGCATATTTCATATTCATCTTTTTTTCACGAGACATCAGTAATCAGATCTGATTTCTCTAATAACTGGTAAGTGAATTCCACTCACTTTGTTCAATGTGGCATGCTCCATGTTACTGGGATTAAATGTGCAATAAGTATCACATGTGCATGGGCAATGTGTAAAACATTTTTATTGGTAAATACAGTAAATTAATCAGAATAATGCGAGGCTTAAATCAATGTACCACTTTCTGTTGAAGGGGGAATAGATTGATAAGGAAATCCCTCTCACGAATATAATGGATAATTCTGTAAATATCTTCCATTTAAAGTGTTTATTCACTTATGTGTCCCTGAAAAGAATTTTAATGCTCCCTGTTGAGCCAGAAGGGGAAGCATTGTGATTACAGAGACGTATCGTTCTATCTGTGAGGTGTGAAGGAAACTAGTTCCTTTTTGTTTAAAGTTCACACTTAGTTCATGCTAACTTGTTCTGTAATTTTTTTTAAGACAGTGCGTAATTGTGGTTAATTTGGGGATTTATTTTTTAACGCCCATTGGGTTTAAACCTGACTGCTGAAGATACTCTTAAAAGTACAGTTTACCTAATTGAAATGAATGATTGCATTCATTTTTGTATTTTTTAGTAGAGATAAAGCTTACAAAGTTTTAGATTTCTCCTCATTTAATGTTTTGTGAAAACAAAACAAACTCAATTTCATTTTCAGTTCTCTAAATAATCACTTATTGCCATTAAGACCAACACTATGTAAATGGTTTTAAATGTTTTTTAATGTAAAAAAAGCTATTGAAAATTTTGAAAATAGTTCATTTGAGCTATAAACTACTTGAAGCTACTCTTACTACTATTCAGGTTTTTATCAAGATGATAGATAATGTGATTCCTGCACTCAGCCTCTCCTGAAATGGTTTGGAACATACTTTTGATAGCATTCATTACATTCTGCCAAATAATCAAGTAGCACCCCACTATAAAAAACACTTTCTAATTATGTACATGCACATGATACAAGTACAGTACATACTCTATTGTTCCTTGTACTTGAGGGAAAAAGACTGTTGCTTTTTTCAATGCTCTTTGTTATGAAGATGTTTCCTTAGTGGGCTCTTGGAAACCCCACAGAGAACATCAAACTGTGTTACCATTCGCAGTTCCTCCGCGCTCCATTGTGCTGCAGCATTGTCACATTGTTTTCTCAGAGGATGTCATATTAGAAATGCTGTATATATGCAGCCACACACATGCATACACAGGCAGCTTTTTTAAACACCTTTTGGAAGGTGACAAAGTAAAAAAAGACAGAAGCCCAATGACATAAGCCTCTGTGGGTCACCGGGTCAGGAAATGAAACATCAGGAAGGTTTGGTTCAGGAAACCATACATACACACCCACAAACACATGCATGTTTTAACTTAATTTTGCAGTTTTAAGTTTTCCACTGCTATTTGTCAATAGCTCACAAAGTTTAAAGAAGTGTGAAAGATTTAGTCAAATGTAATAGTATTTCATTTGCATATTATTTTGCATTTCTAACATTTCGTAAAGACGTATTAAATCCATCTTTTTCATGCACTTCCTTCTCTTTGCAGTTGTGTACAGTTGCCTTTTTTACCCTTGACATTTTTAAAGCTCATCGAGCTTCTTCATCTTCTTCTTTCTTCTTTTATGACAACTAACTTATATTTGTGTATCCAAAGAATATTGTTCCAAAACTAACAATCTTTTAATATTGGTGATGAATATGACTTCTTTTATTCAAAACTTTATTTCTTCTCATTTACAGACAACACTTATTGTAAAGGAGTTGTTCTTAATTTACTGTGAAATGTCCATCAATCCTGCATTGTGTTTTAACTCACACTGTCTGGAATTATACTGAAGCCTGCAGCGCCCCTTGGTGACACAAAGATGGACTGCAAGACAATCTTTCTCTCTGATTTTCTTTCACTCTGTGTCTATTTGTTCATTTAGTAATTTTAAAAGCAAGCTTTGGAAGATGTTTTTTATTAGTTCACTGACCTGTGGGAGTATTAAAAGTAGGATTTTATTCTGCCGTATTGCCCGTTGAGTAAAAACGAATGCAGATGATTTAGAGACTGGACCCCTATACCCACTAGAGGTCATTGTAGAGTAACAGAACAGAATTGAAACCCCAGCTGTGAATCACACTTGAAGTCATGTAAAGGTTTTGGGAAGAAACTTGTCGAGTGTAGACATTTGCTGTTTCTATTAATTTGAGCCCTTTTTTGATGATTATTTATAAAATGCATGGTCAGACAAGAGTGAGGAATTCTGCAGCTTTAAAAATAATGTTATTCCATTCCACTATCCAGGATTCATTTACGTACGAGCTAAATGATGCACCACAGTGTGTGTCAGTTTTTTCATGTAATTGTTTCATTGCAGCAGATATAAAACATGTGTACTCTGATACACAATATTTTTATATTGTTCATTGGTATTAGAAGAAAAAATATTCTGATTCCCTGCACTTCTCAATCCAGATTATCTTTTTTCACTACTCCATATTTCCAATAATTTCAAGTGCTTCATATATCATCTGTATTAGATGACGGAAAAAATGAGACATTGAGACAAGAGCAAAGGTCAACATTTAGTGTCTTTATAAAACAGATTTGCAAAATATAGCCAACGCTCATTCATTTAAATACACATAAATAGCAAGAAAATACTTTCCCATTTCAATTTAGATCATTTTTGTGCTATTTTATCCACAAATCAGAGATGACCATTATGTGAAAAAATGGGACTGAAGCCCTCTCTATTTGTTGCACCAGAATAAACACAGGCATAATGTGTAACTAAAGCGGCAGTTGATTAGTAAGATATGTACATCCTCTGAAGACACAAATTCATAAACCTTAAAACAATGTCTTTGTTTCATTCAAGTCTGTGAAATATCAAAGTACTCATCTTTGGATGGATTTTTCAAGGTATTCATATGTGTATATACATGTACATGTACATATGTATGCATATATACATATATATGTATATATATATATGCATATATATATACATGTACATGTATATACATCTATATATGTACATTACATAATAATTAACAAACATGGTCGTAATAAACATCACAACGGCCAAAAGTTATGTACAATAGTGCAGATGAAAAGCTTAAATCAGGACAAGGCAGTGGAGAGATAATAACATATTATCAAATATCCTGATTTAGACTTCCAGTGGGTTCCCTTGGTTTTGAAAAAAATATTTATGAATACCCTTATAATGTAAATCTTTTATCATCTAATAATTTATATTCAACCATTCAGAAGTGTTATTTTAATATGTGTCTCAAGGTGGATTACGCTTCTTTTTTATTTATTCATTTTATGTCATATTCTTTATAACGTTTGAATTTTACTTCCCGTATTCAATGTAAATGTGTGTATTTCTTTTTTAAAATGCCTAATTGTAAATCAGAAGAATTCCATTATAAGGTTATGTGGTTTTGAATGTAAGTAATTTTTCAGCCTTTTTGATAAAAAATTATGTAAATCAAGTAATATAACAGGGTTCCACCATGTTTTTATATTTTGCTCCCATGTTTCTCTGGGCATTATAAATTGTTTTGCATCTTCTGACCTACTGTAAGTATTTTTTTATGATAACTAGGCTGAAACTGGACTTTAACTGGACCATGTGTTCGAATAATTTGTTCAACCACTGCCACATCAGCAGGCTTCACGAGGTTAGTTGATGTCAGTCTCACTTTTTAAAAGAGGTGCTTTTGTTACCGGGAAAAGAAAAGACTAAGATTAAAGAGCTCTTACAGTCTTCCCCTTTTTTCTTTTTTCTCCTCTACAGACACAGTTCATTTGGCCGCCTCAGAGATGGGTGGAGCTCGCTCCAGTCTCATGATCCAAGGGTCAGAGGTCGGAGCATAAAATGGAGAATGGGTGAGCACTTCTTCTCCAGCTAGGGCGAAGGCGAACACTCCCCTCTGCCTCCCTGGTCCTACCCTCTCCTCCTCTGTGACGTGTTTCCCCTGGGCTGGCCGTCCCTCCCTGCTCTCCCTGCCCGACCCGTCCACACACTTAAATCCCAGAGCCCTGCTGCTGAACCCCAGCAGCTCCCCAAGTCCCTGACCTTTGGCCCCCTGGAATGCCGGATTCAACCCGTTCTCCCCCAGTTGGTTGGCTGCAACAGCAGGAGGGCACAGGAAGCCGCCGGCAGGTGCGGACCGCCAGGCAGCTGGTTTCCGTCCTCGTCTGGGCCGGGAGATGCGGCAGCTTTGCCTCTTAATGTGTCGGTGTAGGTGGTCGGACCTGGTGAAACTTTTGTAGCAGTGCTCGCACTGGTAAGGACGGACCCCCGTGTGGATCCGGAGGTGGTTCTTCAGGTCGTAGTTGTGGACAAATTTGGAGTTGCAGTGGAGGCAGATGTAGGGGCGTTCACCTGTGTGTTTCCGCATGTGAATCTTGAGTTTATCTTGCCTGTGAAAATAACAAAACCACACAGAGACATGAAATACGATGTTGGCGAGAAACTGTAACCTCGGTTACAGTGTCTTTTCTTTATGTTTTTACATCTTCAGTCATCTGTAAAAGTCTGTAAAGATGTTTTAGTTTTCATATGTTGGTATTTATAATATGATGATACATTTTACGTCTCCTCTAAAACACAGATGGAAAAAGTAACAAAGTAGGAGGATATAACTAGTTGAGACTTAACCAATGCAAAGAAACCAATGGAGGGGGCTTTCCACTTTGAACTCTTTGATACTTAGATGAAGTGACAAGAGATTAACCTCAGACAAAAGAGCTTGGGGTACTTTTCCGTTAACTGTGCTGTTTCACATAACCTAATGCTTTGCAGGCAAAATGCAGAGATGAAGATCTTCACAGAGATCCTCAGTGAGGTTTGTTTTTCTCATACCTTGTGAATCGCACTTCACAGATAGTGCACATATAAGGTTTTTCTCCCGTGTGCGTCCTCATGTGTCGAGGCAGTTTCCCAGCTCCTTGGATGACTTTGTTGCAGATTGGACACTGCTGCGATGCTTTGGGCTTCATCTTCCTTTCCTCCTCCAGCTGCCAGGGAGGAAACAGTGCACCCAGGTGGGATGCTGAGCTCAGGAAGCTCAGGTATGACCGGAAGTCTGCTTCGTCTTTAATTGGAGCCAGGGAATGACCATCGGATGTCACTTTTCCAGCGCTGATGGGGCCGCCCAGGCCTGAGCTGATAAAGTCTTTGAGCAAGTCACCTTGGATAAAACTAGGCGGTGCTTCTTCTTTCATCTCTTCCTTTATCATCTCTCTTTTCACAGCTAAATCAAGGGGCCTTGAGTGCTCAAGTGGTGCAGCGGCAGGAAAACTGTGATGGTGCCTGGCTTGGGGTGAGACACCTGGGTGGGGATGTGCGGGGTTCAGGAGCTGCTGGGGCAGGACTGGGAGTTCGGCGGCCCACACAGAGGGGTAGAAGCCCGGGATGAGAGGAGAGAAGTTGGCCCTCCTGTCCAGTGTTGACATGCGTGGATAGAGCCCCTCCTGAAGGAGGGACTCGATTGAAAAATCTTTCAGAGCCCGACTCTCCATGCTCTCCTGCAGCACAAGAAAAAAATAACACGCTCTTATTCACGTTACACAGGGAAATCAAGGGATAAAAAGTGAGCAAGCATATCATGAACCCCACCTGTTTGCTCGTCATGGTGTCTGGGGACTTGTGCTGGGCTGACTCTCTGCGGTGGTCGAGTTCTCGGTGGAATGCGGAGGTGCTCGGGGGCGGTGAATCCTCCGTCCCATGAGGCATCTGCTCTCCCCTGCTCTCCAACGACTGCAGCGATTTCTCACTGACGTTGTCCTCCTCCTGCTCGTCCTTTCTCGATCCCCCGTCCTCCTCCTCGTCCTCCTCCTCTTCCTCCTCCTCCTCATCTTCTTCCTCCTCCTCTTCGTCCTCTTCTCCTTCCTCCTCCCTGCTTCCTCCACCACCTTCCCCACCACTGTCCATAATCTCCAGGCAAACGTTGATAATGCAGGGGATTTCGAGCATCTGCGCTGCGTTCAGGATCTCTTTCACGTTGGACGCGGTCACCGTCAGGGTGGAGGTGTAGGCGAACTCCAGGATGGCTGTGAGGGAGTCCGGGGCTACGAAGTCTATTTCATAAACGGCCGTGGCGTGTTGCGGGTCCCCGCCATCGGTGGTGGCCACCGTGAAGAGTTTCTTGAAGTACTGACTGCAGGCGGCCAGGACAGAGCGATGGGTGCGGTACTCCTGGTCCCGGACGATGAGGATGACGTCACAGAGAAGGCCGTCTCGACGCTGCTCATTCAGGCTGCAGAGGACGTCACTGCTGTGATTCGGGAAGGGGATCCCAATCAGATCTTCCTCTCTGTGATGAACCATTCTCTTCTATCTCTTTCTGTATGTTATGGAGACAGAGAATAGGAAATGATTTTAGTGACAATTAAATAAAAAGGTCAAACTGAACAGGTCAGTAGATCTGTTAATGTTATATTATTATATATATGAGTATGAAAGAGAAATAAACAGTTTTCATTCATAAGTGACTTTGCCAAACCTCTGGTAAACTAAATCTGTCAATTTCAGATCATCTGTTTTTTGGCTGAAAGTTATTCTATAGACATGATCTATTGGATCATATATGCATTAAAAAAATTAGCATGACAAAGACGTCCAGTGAATTGCATGTGCCGGAAACGTGCACCTGAATTAATTTAATCCAAAAGGTCAAAGTGTAATCGTCAAGTTGACTCCACAAAAGCCCAGGAATCATTCAACCAGGAAACTGGATGAGTCGTGTGAAGAAATAGCACTCATCAACATGTCACAGTAATCGCAATGGATTATATTTTTTTAATTCCCTGAGCCAGGTCGGGCTATCATCGGAATCAGACATGGTTTTAAGACACTTAGAAAATAAATTTGATACCAGTTTGCGGTGGGCTCGTGTTCATCATTCTCGTCTGTCAGAATCGAGCAAACCGAGCAAACTGATACCTACATCTAAACAATACAGAGCACAATTTGGATGTGGTGGGAAGTGACGAGTGAGCAACAAATGAGATCAGATTGTTCTCGAGATTGTTCTGTATCCTGTCAGATTGCTTACTTGCAGTCTGTCTCCACTCATTTGACGTAGAGCGCTGTGACATAGTGATCTGACAGAGCAGTGTGGATGTACAGGCGAGCCTCCGCTCTCACAGTAGTTTTCCTACCATTTCCACACCACAGCGGCCTGAGTCCCTACCTGTTGATTCACTGCGCTGTTGTTTACAGTTACGGTGATAAAACTTCCACTGGCAGGGTTCTCATTCATTCACATCTATGAATAGACTTTAAACTCACCCATCCACACTTGGTGGTCACCGAAAGCATGTGTAGATAAATACTTTGAAGCGGCCCAAACACCACAGCTGCATTGTTGACTGCCACATAAACTCACACACATACACACACTCCAACAGACACAGAGACCGCTTTCTTGTCAGTGCTGCTTAAAGTTACAATGCAGAAGTCAAATAAAGAGAAATAAAAAAATTGAGAAAATCCCTGAGTTCACCAGCGGGTATACAACTTGGATACCAATCTTACATGTAGTTTATTCTTGTCGATCTTGTTGCTAGGTAACTGAGGCTATGTTCATGCCATTGATACAATATGGACATAATTAAAATGTCTATGGTGGGGGTGGTAGCATATCATGTATGACCACAGACCAGCGCATCGCCTCGCTGAGGACACGGGAAAAACACAGACACAGGACCTTACAGAGGCAAGCAAAAAACACCAAGTATATTTGTTAAAGGTGTACAACAGAAAGAGTTAATGAAAATTCTGAATGTAAGCAAGCAACTGCAACCTGTGTGTTTTAATCTTACAACAAGACACAATCAGAGTTAAACTTTCCAGATAATATTACAGTAAAAAAAAAAGAAAAAGAGAGAGTATCCTCAGTTAGAGAGTAAGTGAGAGATCGGATGGCCCTAAAAGTTCCCTAACAGGTTGCACAAACACCACCAGAGGGGCCCCTCCCTGTAACAGCCTGCCAAGGCAAACAATAGTGCAGAGCTTGGAACAACACTGAGTGGATAAGAGGGAGAGAAAAGAGTCTGACTGGGAGGGTCTGGCGAACCCACTGTCATTCGTTTGCTCACGATCCATCCCACCCACTCCTGGAACTATGGGACACGTGCTGCTGTTGCTGTTTGCTCGGCTGGTGCCCCAGCGAGCACCACTCCCCTCCGTTCCCACTGTTTGCCTGCCACTAGCTAACGCTAGCTCTTAGTGGCCGGCCCCTAATTACAGTGTGGAGAGGATCTAAGGAGGATGTGCCACATAGACAGGGAGGGGAGGAGGGCACAGCTTTCCCACCACAAGGTCCTGGAGCGACATTTCATCAGCCAAACAGTCTTAACCCTTCATACACAAACACACACACACACACACACACACACCACCCACCCATATGAGCAGCCAGGGTGGGGACGCCTTAAAAAAAGAAACGATAATTACGATTTAAGTATTATTACTTGTATTCCATCATCTCTAAAAGATAAGTTAGCCTTATAAATGATTTTTTTTTTAAGTCTGTCGATGATGGTCAACTAATAAACTGCCAATAAATTGGTAAATGTCAGATCTTGTTTTAAAATTCACCCGTCACTCGTCACTTTGCATGCATCACTGATCACTGCTTAACGTCAGTTTCAGTTTCGTAGCTCTGAATAAATTCATTTTTAAAGTAAACTCAAATAAAAGCCTTTCTGTCTATCTCTCTTCCCACCCTCCTGTACCGGCCGCATCTCCTCTCAAGCCTCACTTAGTCACTAACACTTTCAGCTCAGCACTCCCACCTCAATTTATGTGTCACCTCCTTTCAGTGTCGTCTTTCTCAGAGAACTTCTTCTGTTTTCCGGGCAATGACCACCACCTCCTTTCTCTAATCATTCTCCTTCCTCCTCGCCTCCTCCTCTTCCTCTTTCTGTCCATGCAGCAGCTGTATCATCATTATGGCCTGAGTAGAGCGGCTAACTTGTCCCAACCCTGACCACTCTGGCCACAAATCAGCAGCTAATGTTCATCTCAACCCCTTGTCACAAGCAGACCCTCATTTGGCCAGTGAGCCCAGTTTATCCCTGTCAGGACAGTGCATGCACCTGACCCACAAGCTAAATCATCAGCAGCCAGAATTTACCCCTGTCACCCATTGCCCAGAGCCAACATCTGCTAAACAACTGTCACAGATGGACAATTGCACAGGCAATAATTCCACATGTTGACAGTTAAAATGCATCCTTTTATTAGTAGAGAACATTTATTTGACCCACTCTTATAAGCTGTTCCATTATCGCCTGCCAACAGTCTACCTGTTACTTTAGGAGACACTTTTTGCTCTGTTTTAAGTGTCATCCGTTGCTAACTTTTGAGCCACTTTGGAAAAGTTTTAACATTTAATCTTAAGTGCTGTCAATTACAGCAGGTGTGGAAGGCATCTAATGGCAGTAGCTGTATAATGAAGGCTCGACAGGTATTCATTTCAGTGTTCACTGCAAAGCAATTTTTCTTGCAGAAATTAGAACAGTTTGGAACATATTTATGGTATTTGAAAAAAGAATAAAGTTTGAATTCACATCGATTTGGTATTGTAATAATGTCTGTAGTCACCTGACATTTTAAGTTAAGAACAATTTTTCAAATCTTGCAAATTCACAAATAATGCGTATTTATTCACCAAACTACTTTGGTAATTTAAATTAACCTTTTTATATACCTTTTATTATAATATGTTGGATCAATGGAACTAGGAAAACACTGGTTCAGGCCTGATGAATTTAATTGGTTTCTTAAAGTGTCATCGCTGGAGCCTTCAGGAGGATGCAACGCAACTTACCATAATCTAAACAAAAGCTAAATAGTGGTTTAGGTGATTAAATAAAAGTAACACTGAAAATAACAACAACAAGATAATAAATATACCTGGATTAATCACCATTGAATACTCCTCTAAATGAATCCCCAACCCCCTACATATTAATAAAAGGTTGTAGCAGAAGTCTGAATCTTGGAGAAAAACATCAGAAAATCAAACAAAAACAGGATTTTCCAAGTAGGAATGTTATTACATTATTCTCATTATTATAACTGTTTTCCTGTTTTCCCTTTTCTTTCATTAGGGGTGGCTCCGAAATAGCCAGAACCTATCATCTAAAAAAAAAAACACTTTTAATTAATGCTTTCATGGTGTTGCTTAAAAACACTGATGCTAATGTGATAGTTACAGTAGATGGGCAGCATGGGTCATATTATGACAGTGATCGGTGTTATTGTAAACTTCTTGTCACGCTTTGCGAGCTCGTTGAGTACGTGTGTAATTACTTGTGGTGCACTCTCTGTGTTTTTATGTGCTGTTTTCTGTGCAAAATATTAGGGTCTAATTAAGACGTGACAAACAAAAGTTTTGAAGGTAACAATTGTCCCTGCATTTTGTGACATGACGTGAGGACTCTATTAAGAGGACAGGTTGTAAACAATCATTTGCAGCTCAGCATCTCATTCATAACATGTTTTTGTCTGTCCATGCTTCCAAACATCCCTTTTACCTTGATGAATTAAAGTAAAATTAGTTATAGATTTTACAATGAGTGTTGTTTGTATAATATGTAATTACAGATATTTACATATATACATGTGGAAACTGAAATGTGTTGGATTTAAAGACTATGTTTCATATAACCTAATAATTAGACAATAGACTATTTACATGACTGGTTAAATTATGACATGACTTGTTAAGGAATTTTATTGACCTGCTTGCACCTTGTCAGACTTTTATAGAGTAAAACACTGGGCTATGTCAGTCATATAAAGAGTAAGCAAGCCACATGTCTATACAGTAACAAAGCGCACAAGTGTGAGCTTGTTCACACACACATAGGCACACTGTATATTTTGACCAATTCTCACAGAATTCTACACGCAGACACACACCCAGCACAAGTTCCAGAACTCTGGCATCCGAATGAATTCACACATGTCTCGATACGTTCCTCGGCATTCCACAGCTTTCAGCAGCGATCAACCTACCTTCCTGCAGCTTCTCAATTTCCCCTCACGTGTCTTTGTATCCCCAGACCGCTAAGACGCTCCGCTGCTCCTTTCTTGACCTCTCAGCATCGCTGTCACTAATTGAAACAAAGCTGCTGCTCTTTCTCACCTGTCTGTCAGTCAGTCAGACGAGCAGTCAGTCCATTCACAAGCTCCTGGCTCAGGGCACAGATGCCCATTCACAAAATAAAAATGTCAAGTTAAAAAAAGAAAAAAAAAAGGCACCCAGAGAGGAATATCCAATGGAAAAAATGCAAGGCAAAGGCAGCACAATAGAG